CCAACCTGTCTATCCTCATTGTTATTAGGAAAGGGCCGTCATAACGCTGAATTAATCCCTTGTGTGCAGACTTCCGAGAGATCTTGTTCCAGATTGGTGGGGTCAATTTCAGCATCACTTTGTCACCTACTTCGAACTCTACTGCCCTCCTCTTCTCATCTGCCCACTTTTTCATCCTCTTTACCGCCTTAGTTAAACAGTCTTTTGCTTCGTCGGTCCGCTCTTGATTGGTCCGAGCGAAGCGATATGCTGCAGGACATCTCCCTTGAGACTTTTGCTTGACTATTTCATGCGGGGTAAGAGGCTGTTGGCCAGTTGCCAACTCAAAGGGGCTCATTCCAGTGGACAAACTCTGTTGAAGGTTATAACTGAACTGGGCTACATCAAGTAAATCCACCCAATTGTCCTGGTTCGCTGTGACATAATGTCTGAGATATTCCTCTAGCATTGCATTAACCCGCTCGGTCTGCCCATCTGTCTGCGGATGATTACTGGTGGAAAGTTTGAGCTGTGTGCCCAACAGCTCAAATAAAGCTGTCCAGAATCGGCCAGTAAACCGAGTGTCCCTGTCGCTCACTATGTCCAACGGAAGACCCCAAAGCTTCACAATATGCTTGAGGAATAACAGAGCAGTAACTTCCGTCGTACATACTTTTGGGGCAGCAATAAAAGTGGCATACTTCGAAAATCTGTCTACCACCACAAATATCGAAGTAAAATCGTTTACCTGAGACAAGCCATTAATGAAGTCCATGGAAACACTCTCCCAAGGTCGGCTTGGAATAGGGAGAGGTTCCAATGTACCCGCCACCTTCTTCCTTTCAATCTTGTCCTGCTGGCACACCAAACAAGTGCGCACATACAGTTCCACATTTGCTTCCATGCGGGGCCAATAATAACTTTCCGCTAGCAAGGCAAGAGTCCGTTGCTGCCCTGGATGTCCTGCCCATAGAGCATCATGAGCTTCTTTCAGCAACATCTGTCGAAGTCCGCCTGACTTCGGAACATAGGGTCTCCTACCTTTGGCGTAAAGAACACCATCCTCTACCCAAAATCGTCGAGTCACCCCTTCGTGAACCTGCTTTAGCAATAAGCTGGTCACTGGATCATCTTTAGTCTGATCCTGAATTCTCTGCAGTATGTCTCCTACAATCTGGCTAAGTGCAGCAACTGTCCCATCAGCAACTAGGATTCGACTAAAAGCATGAGCAACCTGATTTGCACTGTCAGGCTTGTACTGCAACGTGAAATGAAACTGGGCAAGAAAGTCCTGTCATCTTGCTTGTTTTGGTGTCAGCTTCTTCATGGAATTGAAACAGCTAGTAGCCACATTATCTGTCAGTACAAGGAAATGCTTCCCCAACAAGTAGTGCCTCCATGCATTGATGCAGTGAATGACTGCTGTTATCTCCTTCTCATGTACTGAATACCGCCTCTCGGTATCATTCAGCTTCCTACTTTCAAATGTCACTGGATGCCCATTCTGCACCAATACCCCTCCAAGAGCAAAGTCTGATGCGTCTGTATGGACTTCAAAGGGCAAATCAAAATCAGGTAAGCGTAAAATTGGGCTAGACGTCACCACCGCCTTCAATCGATCGAATGCCTCCTGGCATTCGTAGGACCAGTTCCATGTCCTATCCTTCCTTAGAAGATCAGTCAGCACTGCGACCTTCTTCGAATAATTCTTCACGAATTTTCGATAATAGTTTGCCAAACCAAGGAAAGAACGCAATTCAGTAACCTTAGTAGGGACAGGCCAATTTGCAATGACCTCAACTTTTTTCGGGTCCATCTTCACCACGCCCGCAGAAATAATATGCCCTAAGAATGAAATTTCTTTCTGGGCAAACTCACATTTTTCTGGTTTCAGATACAACTGGGCTTTCTTTAACTTTGTCAAGGCCAACCTAAGATGCTCAACATGCTCCTCAAGAGTCTAGATATAAACAACTATGTCATCCAAATAAATCACCATGAAGCGGTCCAAGTATTCCCGAAATACATTGGTCATTAAGTTACAAAATGTAGCAGGGGCATTGGTTAAGCCGAAAGGCATAACTAAAAACTCATATGACCCGTACCTTGTCACACAAGTAGTCTTCGCCTCATCTCCCTCTGCAATTCTGACTTGATGATATCCCAGCCGCAAATCCATCTTGGTAAAGAAAATCGCCTTTCCCAATCTATCAAATAGTTTGTCGACAAGCGGCACTAGATAGTTGTTCTTGACAGTGACTTTATTGAGTGCTCTGTAGTCTACACAAAGCCGTAAGGATCCATCCTTCTTCGTTTGAAACAGAACAGGAGCTCCATAGGGTGCCTTGGAAGATTGAATGAACCCAATGTCCAATAACCCCCCAAGTTGTCTCCTTAGCTCTGCCAATTCTGACGGAGACATTCGATAAGGAGCCTGTGCAGGGATTTTTGCCCCTGGTATTAACTCTATGGCATGGTCAATCTCCCGTCTTGGCGATAACCTTGCTAGCAATTCTTTAGGTGCCACATCCTTGAACTCAACCAGCAATTGTTGTACTGATTCAGGGACGTGAAATACTTTGGACTCCTCTTCTTCAAATAGAACAATCAAGTATGTTGCCTCCCCTTTTCGCAAGCCATCTTTTACTTGTAAGACAGACAATATTTCCCCCGAAGACTTGACTTTGGTGAGGGAAACAAAACAAGGATTGGGCATGTCCATCACGAACATCCCATTTAAATGCGGCATAACAGACACCATTGCCTTTGTAAGGAATTGCAGTCCAAGGATTACCTGAAAATCATCGAGAGGGACTGCCACAAAATCACATGTTCCTTGCCAATCACCCACTTTTAGAGGGACTTCTCTTGCGACGCCGCCTACTGGTTTTGCTTCTGAATTAACAGCCTTAATCTGGCTAGAGTCTTTCACCAAAGTCAGACCCAGCCGTTGTACTTCCCGATCAAAAACAAAATTATGGGTTGCACCTGTATCGACCATTGCTAGGACAACCACATTGTTCAGGCGAATCTGCACAAACATCAACCCCCTCTTTGCCACTGTCTTCTCTTTGCGAATTGCATTAAGAAGTTGTAATGGGTTGACTCGTGTTGGTTCGTCAGAACAATCAGTTTCCTCAGCCATGAGGGCACTGAGCTTTTCCTTCTTGAGGCAATTTCTGGCACGATGAGGGCCATTACAGATAAAACATCCTGAGTCAATACCTCCCTTTGATGAAGAGGCTTTGTCAGTCTGTTTTTCTGAATTGCCAAACTTCTCAGCCTTTTTCTTCTGCTTATCCTTCTTAACAAACTTGGCTTTCCCTTTCGACTCCTTCTCTAGAGAATTAGCCTGCGTTTTGTAATCAACCAGCGCGTCTGCTGCGGACATAGCAGCCGGTAAATCCTTTACCCCTTGCCGACGAAGTTCTGCATGTGCCCAAGTTTGGAGGCCAGACATAAAGTTGAACAGTTTGTCTTCCTCTTACATATTTTTAATGTCAAGCATCAGAGACGAGAATTGCTTCACGTACTCTCTCACGGTGCTTGTATGTCGAAGTTTCCTCAATGCATCACGGGCTTGCCAAGCCGTGTTGCTGGGAAGAAATTGCTCCTTCATTTCAGCGGACAAAGACTCCCAAGTAGTAATTGGAAGATGAGATTTATCCTCAGAACGTGTTCGCCACCATAATTTAGCATCACCGGACAGGTACATGCTAGTGAGATCTACTTTCTCAGCATCCGGAGTACGGACTGCTTTGAAGTAATGTCCCATATCCCACAGAAAATTCTCGAGTTCTTTAGCATTTTGACTACATGTGAAAGGCTTAGGGTCAGACACTTTAGCTTTCTGAGTGCTTTCACTGCCAGAAGCCACAGGGGCATTCTGCAATGCCCTCTTAAGCACTGAAACGTCGATCTCAAGGGAACTTAATTTTTCTCTCATATCATCGGTCCATGTGGAGATCGTAGCCAACACGTCAACGACTTCGTTTTTCATTCGACTGAAGTGATCAGATTCAGTCTTTTGAAGTTGTTCCTGTGCAACACGCATCTCTTCGAACCGCTGATATAGCAACTCAATCTGCACAGAGAGAGCTACAGCATCACCAAACTGTGGAGGACCAACCAGCTCCTCCAACCGTGCCACCTTTTCCCTTAGATCAGCATTCGTTCCGCCAGCCATAATTGATCTGTTGCCAAAATCACGCTCTGATACCAAACTGTCACAGGGTAACTTTCGTTTTTCTTTTGAGGCTACCTGTGAAGGCGTTGCTATTACAACCAACCACACTCAACTCAAGAATAAGAGACAGAAACTCACACAGAAAGCACACACGAATCTACTAGGACAACACTCCCAAACCTTATATATTGAACTCAATAATTTACAAGAACTCTCAAAAGACAGAACACTCTCCTCCTCCAGAATGCTCAAGCACCTCTATTTATACAAGAGGAAGGCAGATGACACCCTCATCTGCCAAGGGGTAGTTACCCACGTTTTTGTTATTCCATGACATACTGGACTAGTAGACTTGGTATTTGTGCAACACCTGGCAGGCAGTTCCACCTCTTCAAGTAACTGTTGTGGAACTGCCCCTTCATCAGCATGCATCTAGACTGGAAGACAACATCCAGAACTGCCTCAACAACTGCCTTGATTGAGTCTCAGCATCATAACTGCCCACATCCTCCTGGTCACATGCATTGAGCAGCCATGTGTCAATCAGGTGCCACATTCAGCAGTCATGTGCCCACATTCACTAGTCAACCTTGCTACACGAACCAATGTGCATGCTGGGTTCAACCCATGCCATACAATCCGAAGCTCTGCACCCACATTGCTTCAATTGAGCCCACCCATGCTGCCATACTCAACCGGGTGGTCTCATGCTGCCTTGGTTCGTCCTAATCTATCGAACCACTTAATCGCGTCACCTTAACTCTAACTTCTGGTATACCTTGGTGCAAGGTGTCACCAAGATCGATCATTTGCTCCCGAGTCGAGGGCTGACACTAAGGATAGGAGAGGAGTTGCCAGAAAAGAACAAAGAATTGATGGATAGTGATACAAAATAACAGAGTATTCGATAAGCTACAAACTGGGTACACATCCAGAACTAGAGGTGGGTTTTTCTTCTTTGAAATGATGCATCGTCACCTTGAAAGTTGAAACTCTGGCACCACAAACCACCAAACCAAAAAGTTGTACCTCTTCAAATCGTCTTTGATGCTTCAATACTCCGGTCATTACGTTCCGTTTCAGCTACTGCTCCATGGGTTACATTCTGTTTCAGTCCCCATTGTTCGAATTCCCTCGTATTTTCAGTAGATCAAGATACATGTAAGTCTTGAAACAAATATCCCCCCTCCATTTTCGTCGCTACAAAAAATTTAATATACAGACTTACAATAAATGATTATGTTTCAGCTTTCATCGACCTTTTGCAGCTCCTCAGTGTCTCGGGCTTGGACCGTACAGAAAGCGATGGATGAATTCCACTTGCTGGGCTGTTGGGTTATCTGGTGATGGAGCTGGAGATGTGTTTGATGAAAGTGTTCTTAAGGGAATCGAAAGTGGGTCTCTTTTGGGTGCTTTAGATGACCCGTCTTCAGCACCATTTGGGACAGTAGATGCCGAGATCACTCAGGAAACCATTGATTTTTTCGTTAGTGATGCCGAGGGTGATCCTGACTGCCCATCAGAAGGGTTCTCTTCCATTGAGCAGGCGCTTAAGACATTGCGCCAAGGGAAGGTTGGTACCGTCCAACCATCCTATGAGTAGGTTACTAAATATGGCTGCTTTGTTTTTTGCTAAAAATTGCTTTACGCCAATTTAGATGAAATAGAAGTGACTTGTATGGTTACTGTTCTTTAATGTTTATAAGCATGAATGATACTTTTTTTTTTGTAGTTTGTGATCGTTGTAGATGATGAAAATGGGGAAGTTGAAGGGAACCTTGTCATGGCAGCATCCCTTGCAAGTCCACAGGCTGTGACTTTTATGGTGAAGTATGGGTCAGGAATTGTTTCTGTAGGCATGAAGGAGAAGGATCTTGAAAGACTAAAGCTACCTCTCATGTCACCTGAACGTGAAGATGACTCTTCTGTTCCCTCATTCACAATCACAGTGGTACTGTTTCCTGATTAGTAAACCTTTTGAATTGCGGCATATCTGGGCATCCCAGGAGATGTTTTGACAACTTGTTTCCCAATTGGCAAATATCTGGGCAATAGGCTAAAATTATAAGCTAAGGCATTTTATGAAAGAGTAATGCCACGTGGACTTAAAAAGTAGACTTAAAAACTAGACTTAATAATCTCAACCGTTGAATAGATAGTAGATCCAAATAAATGCTGGGATCTACAGTGAAATTAATGGTTGAGATTAAGTATATTTTTTAAGTCCATGTAGCATTGCTCTTTATGAAATTACTAAACACCGTTATTGCGATAGCTTTGAATTTATTTGATGTTTCCATACTAGATGATAGCTTTTTTGTTTCTTCCGAAATTGCCATAATAATGAAAAATGGAGCTATTTAAATTCCATTGGATGCCCAAATCTGCATTTGGAACTTTAAGACTTGTGTCGAGTCTTTTACATAACTTAATTCAGTTTTTATTTGAAGTTCAGGTTGATTTTGGCCTGGAATTACTCTTTGCTTGATTTAATAGGATGTGAAAGCCGGCACAACTACTGGGGTATCAGCTTCAGACAGGGCAAAAACTGTTCTTGCTCTTTCATCTCCTAATTCCAAGCCAGAAGACTTCAGAAGGCCAGGTCATGTGTTTCCCCTCAAGTACAGAAATGGTGGGGTTTTAAGACGGGCTGGTCACACTGAAGGATCTGTGGATTTGGTTATGCTGGCTGGCCTGCAGCCAATTTCTCTTTTTTCAGCTGTTGTTGATGCAGATGATGGTTCAATGGCCTCTTTGCCCAATCTAAGAAAGTTGGGCTTGGAACACAGCATTCCAATTGTTTCAATCACTGATTTGATTCGGTGAGTTATGCTCTAATGCCCTGTTGAAATTAGTGGATGCTTTTACAATCGTGATTGCATGTGCATGTCCTAAAAAAAATTAAAAAAACTGCAAACCCATTCCACTATTGTCGGATTATAAATTAGGCCACTTGCTGTCATATATATAATGATATGAATTCTAGCACGGAACATTCAGATTTTGCCCTTTGTAATCATAAATTGTGTAACTTTTTGGTTTCATTCAATGAATTCTTTGCAATTTTGACAGAATTCTGATTTTAGAAGCTGCTTTTATTGACTTCAAACACTGAATTCTGATTGTAGGTATAGGAGAAAGAGGGAAAATTTGGTTGAAAGAACTGCTATTTCCCTTCTGCCAACTAAATGGGGCCTGTTTCATGCTTATTGCTATCGATCAAAGCTAGATGGGACGGAGCATGTAGCTGTTGTAAAGGTAAATGTTTCTTACATAATGAGCTTTCATTTGCTTTATTAATTACTTGAAGCAAAAATTCTTGCTTGAGTTCCATGTCAAAGTTTACAAATATTCTACTAAGCTATTTTTGTGTCATGTATCAAAAGGGAAACATTGGGCATGGACAGGATGTCCTAGTAAGGGTTCACTCAGAGTGTTTGACAGGGGACATTTTTGGGTCGAAGCGGTGTGATTGTGGCAACCAATTAGATTTGGCAATGCAGTTAATTGAGCAAGCTGGCAGGGCGTTGTTGTTTACCTTCGTGGTCATGAAGGACGAGGGATTGGCTTAGGTCACAAACTTCGGGCTTATAATCTGCAGGACCAAGGTCATGACACAGTTGAAGCCAATCTAGAACTTGGATTCGCTGCTGATGCACGGGAGTATGGAATTGGTGCCCAGGTCAGTCTGATCATCTTTCCTTCTTCCATAAATGTTCTTGGTCAAGCAAAGACTAACGCAGAAAAATCATCCTTATATAGTAGTAGAGTTCTGTTAATCTCAGAATTTTTGCGTCAATATCTAACTTAGTGATCACAATTACACATGGAAATGACAGTTTCTTTATGGGAAACCAATGGACAAATCTTTAATACACAATGGAGATCCTTCGATCAGTCATAACCGAATAACACTGATCCCGCTCCATTCTAACTCTTTATTTCATTGTTTATGTACTATTATTTTGTCACCTTTCTTTAAACTTTGAAGGCACAGTCTTCTATTTTTTAAGAACTTTTTTTTTTTTTTAATTTTTTTTTTGGATAGGGAGAGGGGAGAGGGAAAGGGGGACTTAAACTTTTAACCTCAAGAAGGCACAAGGTGAGGAATATCATTAGACCAAAGGCCCGTTGGTGTTTTTTTTTTTTGTAAGAACTCTTTCATCCATATCATAACTTATGAAATGTGTGTGTTTCTGTAACGGTACCCTTGCGCTCTTTCCATATTTTAGTTTTCTGGCACTAACCATAAACATATTTGCTCGCCAACAGATACTAAGGGACGTAGGAGTCCGTACGATGCGCCTTATGACTAATAACCCTGCCAAATTCACTGGTCTGAAAGGCTACGGTCTGGCAGTTGTTGGGCGGGTTCCAATCTTGACTCCCATTACAGAGCACAACCAGAGGTATTTGGAAACAAAACGTACAAAGATGGGTCATATATACGGATCTGATTTACAAGGGCCATTAACCGGATTCATCGACCCAGTTGTAGATAAAACAGAACCCCCAGAGGCAACACAGAAATCTGAATAGTCCTTGATCCTATCGATTTATTAAGGAGCTCTCTTCTGTATAATGCAGAGATTTCATACTTGAATTTTCATTGTTGTGATTCATTTGTTTTTAGTCTGTCTTTATTTACAGTGTACAAAGTTTTTAACCCCTTGATATGTATAGCAGAAGTGCAATATATACTCTGGTTGGGCCTTCTCTCTTTTGTGATTTGTGGCTCTTCTTTGTTGGAATCTCGAAGTACTATTTTATCTTGCCCTGTCAAGTTTTATCGTTTAACCATTGTTTTCAGGGATTCCTAATGGCAAGAAAATCACTATGTTGTCAAGAAATCCACAGGATAAATTAGAGCCTTGTGAGTGAAAAGGAAGTACACACTAATTCTGCAAACTTTTTTGTTGGTGTGATAAATAATTGGTACTTTTTGCATCACATTAAATGGGCCTTGCTTAGTGATATAAAAAAAACAGTGTTACGTTTTTTGCAAAAAATAACATCCACGAAGATGGAATCCGCATACCGTAATGAAGCACAACGTATCATGCATTTGATATAGCTTTTCAGGATGTTTAAGCCATGGCATGCGCACAAAAGTGTGAGATTGATGGTCCTATAGCACTAATGGAAAATGTCCCAACAACTACAGCAAAGCAGTGACAGGTATAAAAACTGGTTCTTATTGATGAGCCTGAAATTAACTAGGTCAGGTTAATCAAGAGAAGCCCACGTCATCTTAGAGTTCAAGTCAACAAGTCAAAAAAGAGTCTAAGTTAAGAAAAATCAAAGTCAAGGAGAAGTTCAAAGGGAACACCATCAAAGGTACATCCCAAGGGGCTACCCCAAAAGGCCCCGCCCAAGGGGGCCACCCCAAGGGGATTCTTTCCCTTCTTTGTTCCATGCTCTCTCTCTCCTGTGCAATCTTGTGGAGTCTTTCGCCCTCTTGATTCTGTCACTCCAACTCAAGTCCAACCCAGCTCAATCCTCCTCCCGACGGAATAGGAGCACTAGAAGATAATATCGAGATATGCACGAAGGCCTAATCCTACCATAATTGTACTTATCAAAATAGTAGAAGTTTTCTCCCTCACGTCACTGCCTCACTAAGCCTATATATATGAGCCCTCTCCACGTGAAGGAAAACACATTCAAACCTTACACATATCTCTCTACACACAGAGTCTTTCACTCTCCTAAAGCACTGTAATACTCCTGGAGAATACTCTCTCCGGCGACTTCATTCATTAATAAAAGACTCAGGCTACCGCTGCTATTCCAAAAATAGAGTAAGTCATCCGGACTGAACCACTATAAATCTCTATGTTATTCTTTTATTTATTGTTTTATCATCAATTACTTGTTTATTGCTTATTGACTGCAACTGTTCATATTCTTGACTGTTGATTTTACACAATACCAATTTGTGCATCATCACATATGTCTTTAAATTATGAAAGTTTGACACTACAAAATTGTAATCAAAAGACATTTCTAAGAAGTATAAATTCTGAATTGGTATGCATACGTGAAGTCATTTATGGTAATGTCAAAACACTAGTGATCCTTTCTGTTTTGAAGTGATGTGTTACAGAGCGCATCATTGGAATTGGCAGATTATGCAAAACAATGTCTTTAGCTGAAGATTTAACAGGTCAGGCGAGGAGTCACGGTTGGTATGTTTCGCATGGGCTTTTCCTTTTTCTTGCCAGCTTATTCTTACAATTCCAAAGTGTGTTGAGCTCAAATGGCCTCCGGTTATGTATCATCAAATGCCAGTACATAACCAAATATGCCTTGTATGGAGTTTTTAAACCCACTACACACAACCGACAGTACAATTGTTTGTTCAATCATATGAGGTTGCACTGAAATGACTACTATTTATTCTGGGCTGTTGCATCTATTGGCTGTTTTGCTCAGTGTCTTGTGATGAAGATCATGCAATGCCTTGCCTGTGGCTGTAAGTGTCATGGAAATTAGATTATTAACTTCTCATGGCTCGATTGCAGCCAGATTTTACAAATTGAATATTTATACATTGTCAAGAGGTGACCATCATATAGGTCTGCTAATCGTTACTTCTCTTATTTATAGTCCCAATGTTTAGGTTATTAAAAAGAAATCCTAAAGACAAATTACAGATCCTTCAGAGGCTCCAGAGCTACCCAAAATTTTTCCCTTGCCACGGAGCTATGCTGGGGAATGATTTAAATCCCAGTTTGGATTTAGAAATCACACTTCCTCAGGGAATATAATTTCTTGCATACAGTTTTGCCAAGAGAATGTCATCAACTTTGCCTGACAAAATGGTGGTTCCTAAGTTCTGCATCAGAACTTAGCTTTCTTTGGAATATGATGGTTGACTGCTATTACATTTGATGAAACAAATCAATTGGCATTTCCTGATCTGATCTAAGTGGAGAATTATGTAGGATTTGGGACCGAAGAACTTGGTAATGTGCTAATCTTTCTTGATGGAAATCTTCCCTCCTCAAGGTTTGTAGCAAAGTGGTCATGGAAACAGAACATTTATGGTGCATTGTGAAATTGCAAACGTTTGATCTGCAGAGTGGGCAGCTTGAATGTGTCTGAAACCAACTATCTATACAGGAAATGTGGAAGACATGAGAACAATTCGGTAATTGTTTGAGCCATTCATCTTCTTCAAATTCAGTCAAACAAACTGCCCAATCTGTATCGGATTGACACAATTCTTCTTCATTCTTTTTCTTGAATTGGGTGATGGGAAGTGAGTGCATAATACAGGAATCCAGGCCATGGCTTTGGAAATGTAGAGAAGGATCCTCAAGGTTATCCTCGTTTAGACGGCGCCTTTGACCTCCATTTCTGGACAAGGCCATCACACAAGAATCACAGCAGTGTCGTTGAAGTATCCTGCAGTAACTTATTAGTAGAATGATGGTGCAAATAACACCTACCATTGTAATCACCAATGGATTCCAATGTGAATACTGGATATCTGGAGGCGAGGTTGGACTTGTAGGCATGCTATGGTGAAGTTGTAGATATCATAAAATTTTAGATTAGAGTTTCATAAGGCTTTGAACAGATCTGCGTCGTGGATATTGTGAAGAAAGGGTATGTCTTGAACTTTCTATTCTAGGAGAGGCCCAAATTTTCACCAAGAATCTGAAGATGCTGGCTACGATGCAATCAAAGTAACAACAGATATGGACATTGAAGGTTGGTGATACATTTAAGGATGACAATTTGAATGAACTGCCAAATGCCTTGCAAATATTCAATCTATTTTGTCCTACTCTTTAATGTTTTGCTAATAATTAACGAGATGATAACAAAGATTGATACATATGGATTCCCTGATTGAGTATTTAGATTTTTGGGTTTTAAAAATTAACATTTGATGTCACCACAACAAAACTAGTGTATAAAACTCTCTTGTTTTTGGACATAACACAATTTTTTGTACTTTTCCTGATCCTTTTCTTTGTCGTCTCCTATCTGATCATCAAGATGCTGTACTCCCTAATGCTGATCATCCTATATGACCATATGGCCAGCCTGCGTCTATTTATTTACTTTCTTCTGCAGGAAGAGTATACTTCTAAAAAATCAACAGGACGTTGACACGGTTTTGTAGTCACCCTTTATTTGAATGTAATGCTGCTGACACATCTATTTTACAATTGAAGAATTGAAGGTGTGATATTGTCAGCTTTGGAGAATCTACCACTGTTCAAATATATTGAATTGGAGCTGGAGACTCATACCACAACAATGCAAAAGGCCTTGAAGCTGGCAATAAAGCTAAATAGCTATGTAATTCGAACTCAAGACAGCATATCCCATTTACATCATCAACCACCCAAAATCTGCTTTATGCTTAAAAAAAAAAAAGTAAGGAGAAAGTTATCTCATTGGAATCTTTGTCGCTTGCCAGCTGGGATATAACTTTGAGTATTAGCTCCTGCAGATATCAATTGCCCATTGCACATATATGATCCAGAGGGTCCATTAGGAAAATTCAACATAGATGTCGATAGCATTTGAGAAGAAGCACAAGACATCTCAACATAAGATTGTGAGTGTAATGATCTTAAAGCAACATGGCTTGAATCTGCAGCTGGTTTCTGACTAACAATTTCAGCATCACAACCTTTGATGGTAACCGGAGGAATATGCAAAGGTTGAAGAGGGGGAGGGTTACGCCATCTAGGAAGCGACCCAGCAACAAGAAGTGTCTGGAGGAGTGGCCCTGCTTCCATCACAGCCTGCAAGAGTTTTCCTTTCTGAGGCAGAGTTTTTCCTTTAGCAAGATTGTCGATAACTAAAGAAGCTTGATCAATTTTTGGAGGTCCTGAGGAGACCAGATTGGTCGATATGGTGCTATTATACTCCTGAACCAAAGGCTGGTTAACAAATGCAATGTTACTTGAATCACCCATGTTAACATTTAAGAGTTCAGGGGATGAAATAATGTCAAAAAAGGAATTGACGGGGGATGAATCGTGTGACTGGTAATTGTTTGTTTCGGAGAGGCTGTGAGATTCAGTTATGCTTGATTTTGCTTTGGTGGGTTTTATGGGAGGGCTCTCAGACTGGATTTGAGGAAGAGTGGTGAAGAATTCAGTTGGTGTAGTGGATGGCATGACATTGTTGATTAGTTTCTGAAGCTGATCTCTTGCTTCATCTCTTTCTTTGCAAGCAGCCGTCAGGAGTTGGAGTAATTGCTTTACATATTCTTTGTTCTTTGTCAATTCCTCATTTGCTTCCACTTTGACGGACTCAAGTTCAACAATAGTGTACAAAAGCTTTTGCTTCAATTCATCAATGCTCTACCAATATAAAGGAAGAGACAGTGATTAGTGAGGGAATCACACAAATGTATGGACATACAGAGAAAAAAGTTGTGGGAAAGAAAACCGTAAAATTCTTCAGAAACACAGAATTGTAGTACAACGTAACCCAACAACTAGCATTTATCTATAGAGATATGATCTGGGCACCTGCACACACACACACACACAAAATCTCACGATTGTGAACAGGAAACATGTGTAGACATACAACATACAAATAAATGGATAGCATATGCATGACACATACAGAAGTTGTCAGTGTATCACTAACATATGAAAACAGAAAAGCTAATTTAAAACATTGCATACCTTCAATTGAAAAACTGGCTCTTAATCATTCCATGACCAAGTAATTCAAAGTTAGGAAGAACAATAAAATCCCAACATGGGCCCATGCAGATCATAGACATTTTAGTCAACACAGGCAAACATCCAATTAAAAACTAAAGAAGAACAGTGAGTTTACCATAGGATTCTATTGTAAAAGTTAAAATGGCATTATGCCCTTCAAGTAATTGTATGATGAAAGATCACCAGTACCCATCAAAACCAAGAAAGTCTGACTCAAAAAGTCCCAACTGAGACCTACTTCTGTTTAGAGAACAAGAAACAACAAGTGCACTACTTTACCAAACAAAACTACAGCATTTATTTTCCCTCTCTTGTAATGGAGCTTCAATTACTATCAATACAATTCAGTTTATTTACAACCATATTCTAATTATTCTTGAATCAGCAAAATTGAAAAGAATCAAGGATAGCAGATTACCAAAAGTATATTCACTAATATTCTAATTATTCTTGGATCAGCAAAATTGAAGTGTTTCTGACAGAGTCACTTCAAAATTCAAAGAAACTTCACGTAGGGAAATTGATGTTCCAACTAAAAGAAGACTTAACAAAAAAAGAAAAAGAAAAGATAAAACCCAAACAGCATCTTGAATTGAAGTCAATTGCAATGCAGAGCATCTCTACAATGAAAAGAGTTTAAGTAATGCTAAACCAAATCAATTACTCTGAAAAGCACCCAGAAGATTGAGGAATTAAGTAATGCTAAACCAAACCAACTACTCTGAAAAGCAGACCAGAAGATTGAGAAATCAAGAAATAACTAGTGTACTAACACCTACCTCTTGATAGCTCCATAGAGAAGCCATCTCCTCCATTTCTCTCAATCTCAAATTTCTGGTCAGAAAAGGAGCAATCTTAACTCTTAAGTATTGGGGGAGGGGTTTGCAGAGGTGGGTAGTGGAGTCTTTTTATAGAACAGAGATTCAGTATCAGACAAGAGAGAGTGCTGGGTTTCTCACAAACTTCCGGAACCACCAATCCACATCATAGAAAAACTTAATATGGAATCCACAAAACCTTCCAAAATAGAATAACTTGCTGACACCGTCTCTCACTCCCTCGGTTGAAAAATTGAAATTCTATTGTCATAGCTTCCCATTCTCTCTCTCTCTCTCTCTCTCTGTTAGATTGTCATTAAATATTCCTTAGAGAGAGACGGTTGTGTTTGCTCCCTACGGGGTTAATATAGCAGCAAGCAAGCTGTTGTTTACGCGCTTGTTTTTTTTTTTTTTTGGTGAAAAAATACTAGTTTCCTAAATTACCCTTTTGACTTTTAATTCAAGCTTTTTTTTTCTTTTCTTTTTTTCTCAAAAACTTTTTGATTGGATTTAAATGTTTCCTTTTTGCTGAGTTTTAGTAATAATTTTTCAGTAAATAATACACATCTTGATCAACCAATCTAGTTAGGTTGGCGTTTATCCATTTGGAGCTAGTTCTTTTGGATGCGAAACAACGGTTTGAAAGTAAAATAAAGTAGTCAGAGTTAAAAAAAAATTTAAAACCGTTTGAAATATTTTCAAAAAAATCGACTTTTCTTGAAAGCACTTGAATAAGTCCCAATTTTTAGCTTTTTTTTGTGATGATAAAAGCTATTTTTGCCCAAATTAGTCAAGTTTTTTTCCTCTCAAATAAAAAAAATTTGAGTTTTTAAGCTAGCATCAAACAGACTCATTGCCGAATAAATTACTCTCGTAAATAGTTGAAATAAAACTTGATTAAATTGATTTGTCAATATTGTTTTTATGTCTCATTATGATAATTCTTTGAATTACTAACAATAGAACACCAAATAACTTGTATCCCAAGTATTTGTGGCAACTTGAAGACTTATGGTTACAAGGGTTCCAAGATTTGGGATATATATGAACAATGAACAGCTCATAATCAACTAAAGAAGTTATTATCATTAATTCTTTTGGTTATTTATTATCATTTAGTTGAATGAGATGGAAATGTCAATATTACAGCCGTATATGTCAAGAAAAAAAAAAAACCCATGTGATAGTTAACTACGTGATAAATGGTATTACGAACCAAATTTCCTCTATTATGTTTTTTTTTTTTTTTAATGCTGGTTAATCCACGCTATATGATTAAGTATATCACTTATAAATTAGAATATAACACTTAAATTTATGGTCGATGATCAATTATTATATAAAAAAAATGAGAGAATGTGAATTATTGAATTTTTATTTTTTGAAAATGGACAATAAATGCAGTTCTTATGAGTTGTTTTTAGTATGGAAAGTTACCTTATATGGGATTATGGCTGGTTCAAAAATCAGTTCAAGGTTTGAATATCTTTGGCGCCAATTATTCATTAGTAATATAAGAATTTAATGAGGTGATTGTGCGCTGTGAAGGACTATGACTGATCTCAACTCTATTTAGTATTTAGTATTTACTACTTTCATGGCCATTAATTTAGCTCCTTCCAAACATTTTACTTAAATTATTACAATGCAACTAGTCAATGGACATTATTGCACCAGGAATGTTTTTCGGACTTAAACATTTGACATAATTCGTTAATCTAATTATGTAATTTCATTTAAATCATTAGATCAACACGAAATTTTAATATTTGATGGGGTCTACAGTCAATTCAAAAATCATAATAAATTAGGTAAGCAAATTACGTCAATACATTAAGCCTTAATAGCATTACTCTAACTTTCCACAGTAATAATCAGACTGTTCTATTATGATCCGGCTCTCTCACATTTGAATTACAAATTGATCTTTTTGGATAAGGGTTAAAACTATATTATACAATTGATTTTTGTATAAGCATCATAAATTTTAGTAATTTATATGAAAGAATCACCTTTGGACATAATTTAAATCACTTCCATGTTTTTTTTCTCATGAGATATATATTCGTATCCTCTGGCCTTGAAAGTAATACTTTATATTAGATTTTTAATTATTTTTGCTGTCAAATCACCGATTATACTTTTATAGATATAATTATTAGATAAGATACTCATGGAGGGCGCTCCCTCCCTCCCTCAAGGTTGTTTATTATATGTGATGACTTGCCCTTGGAATTAAAATCATTTGCAAATCAAATACAATTTTCTTTGACATAGACGTTTAATTAGTACATAATTTTCTTATTTACTAGTTTACAGTGCAACTTTTTTAGATTATCCTCCTAGCGGGCTGTGTAATAGGTTGGTTTGTCAACTGCCCAATTACACTGCAATAAGTCATATGCTTTGTTACAAGAGTGGGACCAGAAATTAACTAGAAATTTTAATTTTTTTTTCTTACAATAGATAAAAGTTACATAATTTTTTAAATTTACTATATTCTCTTTAATGTTTAAATATTTATTAAATACAAATAGTCAGTCAAACACTACATAACTTATATGAATAAAAAAAATTTAATTAGAAACCCTCATAAAAAATGAAACTAATTATAATCATTTTGCAACTGACCCCGACGAGTTTAAATACATTAAAAGCGTTATTTGATAATAATCTTTATCGTCATTTCTCTTAATAGTGTGGTAAATTGATAGTTATGCACTCTCGTACCAAAAAAAAAAATCTTATCGAATGCAATAGTAGAAAATCCATCCAAATACAGTATGTCTCGTTAAATTCCTAATGGATGAAGTAACATTGTAGAAATCAAGAATTGATTATAAATAAATAATCTATTATTATTCTAACATTGGCAAGATTAAAATGTCTATCATAAACTTCACCTAAGAGATGCATTAGGGTCAACTTCACTTCTAAGATTTCTACCTTGAAGGATACCATTTGTCTTACAAGATGCTACGTCTTTCTTTTGGACATCTTATGTTGTTATTTACTCAATATTTTCATTTTCTTTTAATATAAGATTCTCATAATATAAATAAAACTCAAGTCCAAACCCAACTTTTACATTGTTTACATAAAGCAACATCTTCTCCATCATAATATTCTGGTTTCTTTATAAATCACTTTATTTTGAAAATAAAAAAATATGTATATATTTTAATCTTTCATAACATAACGAGACAACGAACACACATAATTAATTTTTAATCTGTTTTTTCTCCTAATTTTTGAGTAATAGATTTTAGTAAATTAGAAGGAATGTTAATTCTATTTACTTATTCATTTATTCTATTTTTTTTTTTTATCAAATATAATATTTTATCTATTTTTTTATCTACAATTTTAGACCTACCTAGTATACAGCCAACATGATAAAACCTGGTCTGAATAAGACAATGCACATGGATGGGATGGGGCATTCCCATTCCCATCCTAAAACAACCTGAATATTTCTTTCCTTATCCCCGACAAGGAGTTTCGCCGCTCCTTCGATTTCTATATATATATCATCTGCCAAACATATATATAACTGTCGCTCAGGTATCATGGGAGAACCATATTACCTCAACCTCAGCCATTGGATCAACCAACAATGATATTGTTTTGAACCTTAAATTATGTCTTAAGACTTTAATCCAACGACACGTGTTGAGGTAGCATGCTTTTACCATATAACTCGGCAGTGATTGGTTTTTTTTTGCTGCTTCCATAATTGAATTTTTATTCCTCTATTTGTATTTAAATTCCAGTAGCAGACAAACCTACTTAGATTTAATACTCTCTCTTTTAAGACAAAGCTGCTGGATTATTAAAAGATTGGTTATGCTAATACAATGTATTTAGCAACTACCCTCATTAGGAATAATTTAAAGTTGTAGACAAACTTATTTTATTCTTATGCTCCGTTTAGTACGAAGGAACAGTAGGAGGATGAAAAATTAGAAGGATAAATAAAACATCATGTTTGGTAAGAGAGGAAAGTAGGAAGAATAGAAAAGTGGATGAATTAACTTTCCTTCTAACTCACCAAAATCAATCCCTCCAAAATCGAAAGGAAAGTGGATGGAAAGTTAATTATTTGTGTTGAGATGTATCTTATTTGTCTATAAATCTTATTTATATATTAATTTCATATAAAAATAAAATGATAAAATATATATATATATTTTAAAAATTAAAAATTAAAATTAAAAAATTAAAAAAATAAAAATTTTAAATTAAAAAAATATTTTTTTCATCTTAATTAAGGGTGAAAATTTTCGATTCAACACGATGACACGATTCGAACTCGATACGTAAATAAATAGGTCAACTCGCAACTCGACACGACACAATTAGTTAAATGAGTTAAGTTAAGTTTGATTAATATTCAACACAAACTCGTAATGACTTAACATGAATCTGACACGACACGACTCGACTCTATTGTCACCCTTAATTTTAGTCAACACAAAAAATAATAATAATAATAATTTTTATTTTTCATCCATCCAACCAAACATAAAGGAAGGAAAGTGTATCCTTCCTACTTTTCATACTTGAATGATAAAAAGTGTATCCCTCCTATTTTTCATTCTTCCTACTTTCTATCCTCCCTAGCAAACAGAGCATTAAAGTTCGTAGGTATTCTGAAAAAGTTGTCATCTTCCCTATATTTTTTAATAAAAAAAAAATGTGGGCAGTTACCCCTTTACGTTATGCCTTTGTGCCTTGAATTTTTGTGGTCTGGGGTTTTGATCCTGGGTTGTTCGGATATTTATGCCTTTAACATGACTCTTTAATATACTATTATGCTAAAAGTCGATATTTTTGCGCACTACGGATGACTTTTTTAATTTTAAACTTGATGCAAATAATTGATCAACCCATCCATTTTTTCTTGAACTCCAAAAACTATGTAATACAATTAATTGTATTTTTTCTTAACTAAAAGTAGACATTGATGGTCTATTCGGTAGGATGGATGAAAAAATAGAAGATAAAAAGTGAGAATAATACATTTTTTATCGGTCAAGAAA